ACACACACACACACACACACACACACACACACACACACACACACACACACACACACACACACACACACACACACATGTACGTGCACAAACAAGCTTCCAAAAATAATTACCCAAATATCCCAAAAAGCAAGCCCGTTAGATGGTTCCTATATTGTGTACCTGGGCAACGATCATCTTTTTTGTCCTTCGTTTCCGAAGTACTACCTGATTTAGGACCGAAATACATTTACCTGAAACTGACCCCAAACGTATCAGAAATAGGAACTTTGAGAAAGGCAGCCCTGAACGTGACACGTAAGGGGTTTGTCTCTTTAGAGAGATATAGTGCCAAGGAACGTACCGTGGCGGCGTACTTTAGTGTATTTGTTTCGCATATTTATTTACCCGGGCATGTGGTCTCCAAAGAGACACGATTGCCTCGGGAGATATTAAGTCTACTCTAATGTATAAATTATTTTTTTTCATGCGATACTTACTTACTTATTTACTTACTATCCGTTACGCCATCTGACGTTTAGGGCAGCAACAGAGGATCTCCAGCTCTGTCTGTTTTGGCCCATCTTGGTCAACGTCCCCCACGAATGATTCCAGGACTTCATTTCAGACTCTACTGTGCGTCTCCAGGTCACTTTGGGTCAGCCCTCTTGCGATTTCTTTCGGGTGTCCAGTGAAGGGCAGTCTTCACAATAGAGTCAGGTTCTCTTCTCAGAACATGCCCAATCCATCTCCATCTTCTCCTTTTTATTATGGTGGTCGTGTCATGTTGCCTACATTTTCGTAACAGAAGTGCATTGGAAATCTTGTCGGGCCAGAAGATTCGGAGGATTTGGCGTAAGCTGGTTGTATGAAAGGAAGATAGCTTGGCACGGTCATGATCAGTCATCTTATACCGCTCTGCCATAAAGTGTGCAGTTTGGTTCTTTTGTAATACTGTAAATAGAAGTGTTTCAGAGTAGGGTCCATGGACCCTAATGCGAAAGTCACCGTGGAGAAAGTATAATAACGTAGTGTGATCATGTAAAAATAATTCCCAGAGAGATACTAATAACTTTAAATCATCATCATCAATGCCTTTCACCCCTGGCAGGGTATAGGCCACATACAAGCTCTTTCCATTTATCTCTGTCCTGGGCCATCCTTCCATTGCTGCCCATCACCCAATATTTTTACGGCACTTGTACCATAATTAAATCATATAAGTTCCGAAGATTATAGTCGTGTTACAGCCTTTCTATTGCTACTCTTTGGCTTCTCCCAACTGCTGTCTTTCAGCCACAACCCTGATCTTATTGTAGGTAAGATCTAACATCTAGCCTTCTCGGATAAAAGCGAAAAATTTCGGAGGTCCCGTATGCAAGTTTCGCACGTTAAAGATCCCTTGGTGGTCCAAAATCGATTACAGGAGGCTTTGGTTGCCACCCGGGCCATTTTCCAAAATAATTCCTACTAAACTGAAAATGTTTAATACAATGAGTCCCTAGCGCTCTTGTGATTTATGAAGTTACGAGCGCCGTAAAACACTTAATACCAAAACAAAACAAAACAAAAATGTAACGAGTGTAACTCTGACACACACCCAAGGTGCAGAATCGAGGGTTTTTTTTTCCTTTCACGTGAGGAGACACTTTGTCCAGTATGACCTCTTAAAAGCACGACAATTTATAACCGAACTCAGGCCCATTTAACGACCCGTGAAAGCTGCGTATATAAATAACTCGATCCCCAGTTCTTTCCTTAATCTCACGGGCGAAGCTTCAGGTTCACTCCACCGGAACGTTCTCCAATTTGGTGAGTATCGTTTAGACGTATAGGGCTTACGCATTTTGCATCTTAAATAATAAAACTTGTATCCTCTCTGAGAGCAGCTTTGATATAGGCGGCAGAAGGCTGATGTTAGGAATATGTGACAGGTAGCTGGTAGGCTATCCGCTTGGCCTATGTTATGCAGAGCATGCATAGTATTCGGTGTTTTGGGGTCTAGATCGACTACCCTTCTGTGTGGGTCCAGTGTTCTATTTTTTCCAGTGTTTCCACAAATCAAAAAGGGTAACTGTCATGGGCTTTTTAAACAGCTTCCAAACAGCTTTAATTTCATGTGTTTGTTATGTCCTGTTTGTTTGTTTAGTTCTTTTTCTTTTGAGGGGGGTGGGGTGGTGTTGCTTTGTGTGTTGGTGTGTGTTGGTGTGTGTGTGTGTGTGTGTGTGTGTGTGTGTGTGTGTGTGTGTATGTGCGTGTGTGTGTGTGTGTGTCCAGGGATCCCCATTACGCACAGATGTGCGTATGCATTTGCTTTTAAACATGTGACACAGCCATTTCCCCCTTCTCTATCCTGAAGCCAAGTCAATGTCAATGTTTAAATTTTGAGAACACACTCACACACTAGTGGTGGACGCTAATCGATACCAGTACTCAGTACGTTTTAAGAATGACCCCCTTAGTAAGTACTTAGATATTTTCGTCCTTTAGTCGGTACTAATGGATACTCAAGTTTTTGGGGGAAAACTAACCAAAAAGCTCTGAAAATGCTGCTGGCTGGACAAACTATTGTCTGTGATGTACAAAGACACGCAACTCATTTTCATGATGAAAGTTGGGGGGATTCCTAGAGTTGATGAATGTAGTCGATCCCCCAAGATTTAGAGGGAAACTTTTAGGGTTCAGCTAAATTAGAAAAAAAGAGAAAAATGAAGCCCTGCGCCCCCCCCCCTGAGAAAAATACCAAAACAAAAACAGCAAAAAAGTTTAATTGAAAAACCCAAACAGCAAAAGACACAGCACAGGTTAAAAGCATGCAGGCCTTCTGCTACATTTCGTGGCCTTTTGTGGAGAAGAAAAAAGAAGAAAAAAAACCCCAGATTAATAAGATTGACATTGTTACAGTAAGAAACCGTGATTACGTACTCACGAGATTGGGCCCTCTTAGTCGATAAAGTACTCGATATTGGCCAGTATCGACTAGCGTCCCC